CACAAACTTTCAGCTTAAAATATGATTAAAAAAAGTCAATTAAAAAATTATTGAAAAATATTGTGCCAAAATATTTATATGTACAATGCAGTATTTTTAATAAGGGGAAAAATGTCAAATAGGCCCCCTACTAATACGAAAAAGTCAATTAAGTCTCCGAACTCAAAAAACACCCAATTAAACCCCTGAACTATAAAAAAACGTGGCAAAACAGCCCTTTTAGCATGTAATTAACCGGTTCCCGGTTCCATTAGTCCACGTGTCGCACACGTGTCGCCGCGTGTTGCCATTTGTGGCCGGCCACCTGTCGGCTGTCGCCACGTGTAAAGGTTAGGGGTGAGGAAAAATACCGAAACTTTGGTATATCGGACTTACCATATCGAAAAATACCGAATTTACCGAAATGTTAGGTATACCGACACTTTTGGTACGGTATGATACCGTACCGAATTACTTCGGTATGGTATCAGTATATATTTTGGAAATAAACGGTATACCGGTATACCGTCATACCGTAATTCCAAGCCAATATTTTTCTTAAACTTATAAAAATAACTAGAAACACAACACTAATTCAAGGACAAATCACTTTATATCCATGTTTCTTGAATTATTTATACTTTTTATTGGAGATCGATGTTATTTTAAATATATTTATGTTGTTTAAATTATTTTAGTTGAATGTGTTGTTATCTTCATATATCATGTGTTGAAATATCTATACATATTTATAATATTTTTTGTTCAAAGTTAAATAGAATACAAATAGGTTATCTCATTGGTATTTTGTAATTAATTTCTTTTAGTATATCACTATTAACACTGATTTTCTTTATTTCATTTGACATATAATAATTTGTTATATTAAATCATGATAATTTACCGATACCGTACCTTATCATACCGAAATTTCGGTATACCGAAACAAAGTATACCGAAATTTCGGTATGGTAACGGTATGTATTTTTGCTTACCGAAAGATTACGTTATGGTAAAGGTATGCGATAAAATATTCGGTATACCGTACCGAACCAACTAGTAAAGGTTTACGTGGAATCGGTTAATTACATGCTAAAAGGACTGTTTTGCCTCGTTTTTTATAGTTTGTGGGTTTAATTGAGTGATTTTTGAGTTCGGGGGCTTAATTGACTTTTCAGTATTAGTAGGGGGCCTATTTGACACTTTTCCCTTTTAATAATGTGTTTAAATGACTTCTCAATCAAATTTTATGGTGAAATTTTGTGGACATAATCTAAACCTCATGAAGAACATGCTCAAAAAATTCATCAAAAAAACCACCGAGAATATCCTCAATTCGCGGTGGCTAGACGGCGGTTCTCCTCCGTAATTCCCGTGGTGAACTTTTCTCCGCCGTAATGTATATAAATGCTATGAATTTAGGACTTAATTGCAATTAATTTAATGAAATTCACTATTTGAACTCAATAGTAATCAATTAAGTAACTACCATGAATTTAGGACTTAATTGCAATTAATAACTATTCACTAATTGAACTCAATAGCAAATAATTGAAAATTCAATTTCAATTAGAAGGTTGTACTTATTATTAAGTAAGTAGATTCATTCCAAGATCGATCACGCCCATTCACGCGCGACTTTGAAAATAATACTACCTCCGTCCCGTTAGAATGTTCCCACTTTCCTTTTTTGGATGTCCCAATGGAAAGTTCTCATTTTCCTAAATGGAATGTTATCATACATCAAAACAGTGTCAAACAGTGCAAAACAGTGTCAAACAGTGTCAAACAGTGTCAAACAGTGTCTAAACAGTAAAATTTACCCCCTGGTAAGTTTATTTCCTTAATATGTGTGTAGGTCAAACCGGAAACATTCCAACGGGACGGAGGGAGTACATGATTATTCCCACTTCATAACTATGATATTTCATGTCTCCATTTTGTGTCGATTATCATGATTAGAAGAGCTTCAATAAAAAAAATGTTTTATTAATATAATTATGTTTTACGAAGTTTGATTTGAACTTCAATTACAGTATTTGAATGCCCTATTTGAACCACATTTCATATATTTGTTCGTTCTCCTTTTTAGTCATTTCACTACAACATTGCCACAATAAAAATGTAATTGTGATAATAATTAAAGAGAAAAAGGGCAAATAAGCTCACGCACTAACAAAAAACGTTAAATAAGCCCTTATATAAGAGGCTATGTCCGGACGTCGCCATTTGGGGCGGTTCCCGATGAAATCTTTTGATAATTTTTTTTGAGCATCTTATTCATTAAATCTACCAAATTTCAGCTAAAACTTCAATCGAGAAGGCAATCAAATGAATTCTTAAAGATAATTGCGCAGTTAAAAGCGCAGTTATCTTCAAGAATTCATTGGAATGCCTTCCCAACTGAATTGTTAGCTGAAATTTGGTATGAGTAAACTAGACTTAATGAATAAGATGCTAAAAAAAATTCATCAAAAAATTCCACCGGGAAATGCCCCAAATGGCGACGGCCGGACAGAACCTCCTATATAAGGGCTTATTTGACCTTTTTTTGTTAGCATGTGAGCTTATTTGCCCCTTTTCCCATAATTAAATGATTGAAATTATTTTCACTTTTTATAAAAGTTTGGAAAACATGTATCAAAAGTGTCTTAATCTACCACCCACAAATGTTGTCACTATAATTTCTTACTCCGTATTTCATAATGTTTTCTGGACTGAAATTTGTTGGTCTCATACTCTCATCTAGTCTGGTCTGATCTGGTCTAGTCTGGTAAACGTCTGGTCTCTGTGTATTTTATAATTACGGAAGTCAAGTCTGGTCTGATCTGGTCTGGTGTGGTGTGGTCTGGGACTGAAAACAGTCCAAAAAAAACATCCTTAATACGGAGTACTACGTTGAATTTGCGATTAAAATTGTTGGAATTTATCATATTCTGAGCAAAGCAAATGAATTGGTCGAGTCTACTGGACCTACTGGATTAATAAAAATTAATGTTTAAAATATATTTTATTAATATAATTGGGAAAAAATTATATAAAAACGGTTAAAATATTTCTCTTTAATAATATCAGCCAAACCCGTCAAAAAAGTAACCCACAACCTTAGCGATTTTATTAATTGCACAATTAAACGTTTGAAATAAAAAATTATTCTCACCGTCCCATAAAATTCCTCTTACTTATCTTTTTGGAATGTTCCAACAAAATCACATTTACCTTTTGTGAAAACTTTGTGTGGTTAATATTCATTTACATTTTCTTACTCGACCAAAACTATACATTTCCATTTAGTCTCACTTTCGTAAAATATGATCCAAGTCAAATGTAGAAGTAATATCCCTCCATATTTTAAAGAATACTACATAAGGTTTGGTATATTATTTAAGGTGGTAAAGTAGTAGGGTAATGAATAGTGTACAAAAAAGTAGCAGAGATGTGTAAAAGTGTGTAAAAGAAGACAAAATGTATAAAAGATAAGGATAATTGAGTATTTTCTAAAAAGTAGACTTACCAAAAATGAAAGTGTATAAAACTTTTAAATACACCCCATAAAGAAAAGTGTAACAAATATTAAAACATGGAGAGGTATATGTTAAATGAAAAATATAGATTGTCGGGCGTGCTCCAAATTTAGAAGAGAAAATTATTGCTTATATGACTAAAAAAGATCATTTATTTGAGAATGTATGACCTAGTAGTTTTATTTCCTAGGTTGTTGCTTGTTTGTTTTTTGGCCTTTCTCTCACACCCATATTAATTTCTAAACCTACAAAATAGGAGTTATCCCTAAATCTTACTCATAGGTGTGTGGTGATTATTACTCATATTCCCGTAAATCTTGTTTTCTAATTCCTCCCTCTTTTAATATTATTATGTACTACCCCGTCCCAATTTAGTTCCTATTCACTTGATTAACACAAATCACTTTTAATCTCTTATTTTATACTGTATATCAATTTTTTTTTTATCAAAATTGATTCATGTTTTTGCGACTTTGTAAAGATTCTAATATAGTTTTTGAATATATAAGATTTATCTTCTAAAAATAATTTGAGTGCAAACAGGGATCCATTTGCTTTATCGTCAGCCAAACATCGTAAAGCGCAACAGTAACATCAAATTGGGACGGAGGAATGACAGGGATCCATTTGCTTTATCGTCAGCCAAACATCGTAAAGCGCAACAGTAACATCAAATTGGGAGTACTATAGTATTTATCCCAATTTAGAATGTTCACGCAACAAAAGATATACTCCGTAAATAAATTATTGTGCGAGTGTGCGACTATTTGACTTCACACCAAGAACCGTGAAGCCTGAATTTGTCTTCGAGTATTTCCAAGATATGATAAGCATAGTTTATCTTTTACTCCCTCCGTCCCTAATTTACCTCCCATTTTGACCCGGCACAGGGATTAAGATAGTGGGTTTTGTGTGGTGGAGAGTTGTGCAGAGGAGAGAGAAATGTGTAAGAATTGTTGTGAACCACAAATCCTTTGCCAAAAAGGGAAAGAGGAGATAATTTAGGGACGGACCAAAAAAGAAAGTTTGAAGATAATTTTGGGACGGAGGGAGTAGTACGCAGGTAACAAAACCTTAACGAATCATATTTATTGATGGGTAGATCTTACATCTTACAATAAAGCCAATAAAACAGCATCAATGGAACTGTCTGGCAGACTTTATTTTCCCACAGTACAGGTGGCCACCACATTGGTCAACGTTTCAATGCTACCATCATTATTATTATTATCACGCACAATTATGATTAATCTTTTTTTAAAAGCTATTTTGATGATTAATCTATTCCGGAATTTGTTTTCTTTTGGATTGTTTTCAGTCTCAAACCAGATCAGACTTGACTTTCGTAGTTATAAAATATACAGAGACCAAACATTTATCAGATCATATCAGATCAGTTTAGACCAGACTAACAAATTTTGGTGCAAAAAAACAGCCTTATTACATAAAAAATCATTTGTACATACTACGTATTTCTTATACATACTTCTTAATTGTGGGAAAATAGACAATGTTTACAATAAATGTGTACGCGTAACACCCTCATTATTATATAAAAAAAAATGTCAAGACACGTCAAGATTCCCCAAAAGAATTGTCTAATTCATTCTGGATTCGATTACTTCATACGTGATTCACGACTTTTGTTGCTTTCTGATATTTCTAATGATTGTCCTAAATTTTAATTTATTAATATTAAAGCAAAAAGATGGCCCTGAGGTTAGGGTTGCGTCTTAATTACATTATTTACATAACACAGACATATTCGTGTATATATGTGTGTGTGTTCAATGTTTCTATGAAATGAAATCTTTTGCAGAATTTCTTTTTTTATCATGTTGAATGAAATAAGAGCTGTCTTTTATTCATGGTTGCCTTCTTGCAGATCTTCATACATATTTTATATTGATTGAAGAAGAAGCAAAAACTATCACTTTTCTCAGGTCAGGTTATTAGTTGAAACAATGATTTCTTAGAGATTTTTTTTAGTAATAAGAAGAATCAGCAGAAGAGGATAAAAAAAGAAGATGGGGGTGTGGACATTATTTGAAGTGGCATCGATGCCCATACTGCAAGTTTTGATTATTAGTGTATTGGGAGCTTTGATAGCCACTGATTATTTCAAGCTACTTCCTGCTGATGCTCGAAGATCCCTCAACAGGGTAAGCTACTTTTCATGTTTTCATTTACTTTTCAATTTTTTATTATTTGTTCTATGGACTTTGTTTGACGAGATTATAAACCTTTTTAGTTTAAACTTTCCTAAAGAATTAAGTCACTTTGCACGATCTGCAAATCGGGTTGCCCATAAAATTTATAAATTTATGGTTGTATGTTTTCTAAAGATCTTCCACTCTGTTGTATTCTGGACATCCTTTCAGAGGATTGCATCAATATTGAACTTAATGCATGGAGATAATATATTCATGTGTTCATATATTGCAGAAGATGTGTTTGTTATCATAGCAAAAGATATTTTCTGTTTCTAAATAAATTAATATACTAAAGAAATTGATGTAAATATCTTACTGCAATTTTAGTGGGTAAATATGATAAATGGTCCCTATTCCCTAATACTAGTATATGTTTATTTGGAGGACTTGGTACTTCTAACCGTACATGTCAAAAATTCATTATTCCCCTAGCTCAGATACAAATGACATCGGCTAATTTAATCTTACATGCCTGAACATCTCAAAACATTCTCAAAACATATACAAAAATTTAGCAATACTTAAGAATTATGAAACTCTTTGTATATCCCATACATCCGCAATTTGATACTACATCAATCTCATTTAAAAAAGTGTGTTTTTATTATTATTGTAATACTATAAACAGAGTATTCCAAACATGATTTTTTTTCTTAGACAAGGGTAGAGTGTTTGTTTATTATAAAAGCTAATTAGTCAAAGGTTACTGAAACTTGTATGTAAATGTATATCATTGCAGATAGTGTTTGTGGTTTTTACACCGTCGCTCATTTTCGCAAGCCTAGCGGAAACCGTGACCATACAAGACATCATTTCATGGTACATTGCAGCTTTAGCAACATAATTTGGAAATGTTCACGTGCTGAGTTGAGTTTTATCAAGTATTTTGTTTTCATTCTTTTTTTGGCAGGTGGTTTATGCCCATTAATATTGGGTTAACCTTTGTATTTGGGGGATTTCTTGGATGGATTGCAGTGAAGGTACTGAAACCAAAACCACATTTAGAAGGCCTCATCATTGCTTCATGTTCCTCTGGTATTATAAATATATACGGAGTACTAATCATGCTATATTTGCCAATTTCAGTTATTATCTAGTACATTAAGATCACAATTCATTTTGGTGTTAATACTTTCTTATATTAAATGGTAGGAAACTTGGGAAACCTTCTCTTGATCGTCGTTCCTGCAATCTGCGATGAGGATGGAAGCCCCTTTGGTGATAAATCAGTTTGTTCTACTCATGGTTTGTCATATGCCTCCTTCTCAATGGCGGTAAGAAGGCCACATCCCTTATCATTCATAGTAAAGTTTGTGTTGTGAAGTAGTAGTGTCTATAAGTAGTAGTAAATTGTTTCAAAAAATAAAGAATTGGTGGCAAAGCTTAAAACCGGATGTTCTTCCTGTCTCAACCTTTTTTAATTATGAAGGATAATTGCTTACAAGTTCTATGATATGGTTCATTTGGCACAGCTTGGAGGTTTCTACATATGGACTTACACTTACCAATTAATTAGAAGCTCCTCTGTGAGGCTAAAAGCACAGCTAGCAGCTGAAGTCAGTGAGTTGCTGAAGGAACCAAACAAAGACTTAGATGCAAATGAGAATTCTTCCCTCTTAGAAAATGAAGCTCAAGAACATCTCCCTATTAGTGCTGTACCAACAAAGTCAACTGCAAATGACCTGGAAAACCCCAGCGTAAGATCCCTTTTACATTTGTACACTCATTCCATTATTGATGGTAGTCATATAGTTCTTAATTCGGACCGATAAATCGATTGTTGACCATAATGGACTTCGTCCTAACTAAAGAAGAACGATTGAATCTAATTGAATAGCTAGTCTAACTCGATGCCTTAGAACTCACATATCTCTTAAATCTTTCAATGTGTAACTCTTAACAGTTAATTTGATATACTATAGTATTTAGGCATGATGTTTCTGAAAAGTTTTCTCTCCAATTGCTAATAATAAATAGAAGGCTGAACCAGAAGTTGCAAATTTCAAGCCGGGAAAGAAAGAGGGTGCATCATTCTTGAGTGAAGTTGTCGCGGTTTTGCACTCAATTCTGGAGGAGTTAATGGCACCTCCAACTGTTGGCGCTGTAAGCCCCCCTTCCCCCAGTGGTGAATTTAGCTTTTGTTGGATACACAAATTTGACATGTAATTATATATTCACATGTCTTGTCTTGTGAATTGTCAGGTTTTAGGTTTTCTATTCGGGGCAGTAACATGTCTGAGAAACCTAATAATCGGTGATAGTGCTCCTCTCAGAGCCATACAAGACTCTGTCAAACTACTGGGGTATGTATTGATCTTGATTGCATTTCGTAACGGCTGAGTAACACATGTGTTACGCCATCTCACATCAGATAAATATAAAGATACATACTCAGATATAAAATATAAAGATATGTACTCAGATATTAGATTTTCTTTGCTGCTCTCTACAAGATTGAATATTTCGGGCAGAACCCCAAGTCTTATTCATAGTCGCATTGGTTGTAATGCGTGATCATCTACGCTTTGTGTAGGTTATTGATGTTCTATTTGTTTCTCAATTATGCAGGAATGCAACTATCCCATGCATCACCCTTATCCTAGGTGGCAACCTCAGTCAAGGTGAAAATTTGTGGCTATATCTCATATCTCAAACCCGACTATTTGATTCAAATGCATGCCCAAACCCCTAATGTCATGATGTGCTGCATTTAACAGGTTTACGCAACGCTAAAATCTCACCATTAGTCATCACAGCAGTTTTGTGTGTACGATATATCTTGAGTCCTCTGATTGGGATTGGCATTGTTAATGCTGCCTCCAACATCGGTTTCCTTCCGGCCGATCCGCTGTTTCACTTTGTACTGATGCTTCAGTTTACCCTCCCACCGGCTATGAATATCGGTAACCCCGTTAAGACTGATTTCTGTACACTCTCTTTACACTGTACTTTATCTTTTTATTAATGGTAATGGTGGTAAATGCGTCATTGCAGGAACGATGACGCAATTGTTTGATGTGGCACAAGAGGAATGTTCAGTGCTTTTCTTGTGGACGTATTTGGCTGCAACAGTTGCACTTACTTTGTGGTCAATGGTGTTCATGTGGATCCTGTCTTAATAACTAGCAGTTGAGATCATTTCTTCTGTTCACCGACATCCTTCCATTTTTCCTGCTTCGCTATATTTATACACATACATTCTTTATAAAGCATTCTCCGGAGAAAGAGCTGCTTTAACATCACTTGAAATGGGCAAGTCTCAGAATGCAAGAATAAGCTGTTATGCTTTTTTTGTTAGGGGTTTGTAGCAAATATTTGTTTCATATTGCTAAAGGGTACAGGGTTGTTTCATATTCCATCAAGTTCAGTGTAAAAGCCAAATTTGTTAATTACTTAAAAACATGTAAATGATGAATGAAATATTCGAGTGATTGCCCAGTTCCAAAAAATCCAGCCGTATTTTGTCTGATTTCACTCGGGTGTAGGGGCTGATTCTTGAATATAATGTCAATGAGAAACTTCACTTATTACCATAAATCTATTCCGCAATCAATTTTTTTAAAAAAGGATAGAAAAGACATCTTAATAGACATCTTAATGGGAATGACTATTATTATCTCATGATTAAGTCAGTTTTTGAAAGAATGATTAATCTATAATATCTAAGTCATAAGTAAACACAAGTGAAAGGTTGAATGGTTAAGTATTCATTGTCATTCTAGACTTTATATTTAGGCCTTAATGAAACTTTAAAGCATTTTCCAGGAATATAAAGTCTTTATAGCATTTTCCAATACAAGTGAAAGGTTGAATGACTAAGTATTCGTTGGCATTAAGGCCTAAGTTATTTTCCTGGGCAAGAATTCATTTGAATGCCTTCCTGATTGAAGTTTTAGCTAAAATTTGGTATGAGTAAACTAGAATTGATGAATAAGATGTTCAAAAAATTTCATCGAAAAATTCTACCGGGAACCGCCCCAATGGCGTCGGCTAGACAAAACCTCTTATATAAGGCCTTATTTGACATTTTTATGTGTGTTTGAGGCCCTATCTGACCTTTTCTCTTAAATTTATTAAGTCTAAAGTAAACTGTAAACGGCCCTTCAATTTTGGTCCCAAACTCCCAAGTCCCAATTGCTATTTTCGTTTTCATACTATGTATTTTCTTGGCTCATGGACTTCTGGTTGAGCTGCAATGACTATTATAACCGTTTGCAATGAACTATTAATTTCTTTACTCCTTGCTATAAATATCAAGTTTCAGTTCCTCATTTTCTCAAATGCAATGAAACCATGCACAATTTTTTATAGCATGCTAGCGTTACTTTCACAAGAATATGCAATAAAACTTTATAGCATTTTCCAATACAAGTTTTCCAAGAATTCAGTTAATATTTTCAAAATAACAGTAAAAATTAAGTAATTTGCCTAAATACAACTATATTTTCTCTTAAATAAAAGTGAGATACACTAAGGGTGGACTGGGACGGGCCACGCCCGTTCGGGCTGCTGGTCAAAGATTATCATGCCCAGTAAAAATCAAGTAATTTGCCTAAATAGAATTATATTTGCCTAAAACCCTATTTAGGACCATTTCTCTATAATCAATAAACCTAGTCTTCAGCGTTGAGCATTGGTATTGTATGTACTTTTTGAGTCTTTGTATGAGTTCACAGCAGTATTTCAAGAACGAATACACATCTGCAAATAAAGTTGCAAAGCAGAAACAAACCAAATTTTAATGGAATATAATTAACGCCGGACATCTGAACCAAAATCTTAAATGTCATTCACCAATAAAAAGAAATGCATATTGAAATTTTATTGTGCTTCAATAAACTGAAAATCCTTCGGAAGAATGAAACTTTGGTGCCCGATCATGAATCAACAAAAAGTTCAATACACTTTGTCGCTCTGATTCATCCGAACATCTGTGTTGTCGTCATCCCGAATACACGTGTGCCTGCCTTTAGATCAGGGTCAATTGGAGGACAGGGCGGTTAGGCTATGGTTCTACTACCTCCAAGTGTATCCTCACAGTCATCCCAAATACATGTGTGCCTGCCTTTTAGATCAGGGTCAGCTGGAGGACTGGGCGGTTAGGCTGAGGTTCTACTACCTCCAAGTGTATTCTCACAGTTTGCAGAATGCCGTAAGAAGCAGTGCCATCTGACTTCTTGATCCTCTGTTCATTCTCATCAGCCAACCAGTCTCCTGACTTGTCACCTCTGGATGTCAAGTACACAGGCCCTTCGATCCCATACCTAAAGAAATATTGATGTACAAGTGTTATATTTCAGGTGTGATATTCGAATATGGAAACATAGTATGTCAGGAATGAGTTGAATACTTGAATAGGCCATTTGTTTGATGAGTACTTTGCAATAGGTTAAGGGTTTGTTTTAAAAAAGATCGTGTTCTGATTGAAATTGTTCTATCAAAAAAATCCTTCTTAGTCCTATAATGAAAGCATTGGTTAATAAAGTTACAGAGGATTTAAGAGGAAAAATAAGTCCAATCTAGAATAATAGTAGATAAATGATGTTACAACAGTCATACTTGGGAACAAAAACAATAAAACCGTTGGTTCTTATTTTCAGAATTTTAGCTTCCGTGTCTGTGGGGCTGCAAGAATAACACAGACAAGCATTAGTAGAAAGAGTAGAGAATGGAAGAAGAGGATAAGAGGATTAAGGCGGCATAATGCAATAATCATACTTCTTTCTGAAGAAAATAACAGTATGGAGCTCGACTGATGCTCTGCTAGCCATCTGGGCATTCCTGTGCCGATAGTTCAAATCTGTCCAAAACAGGGAAACTTGCCAACTTCAAACAGGGTATTGAGGGACAGGGGATCATAGAAGCAGCAGAAATTTTATATGAATGGAAAAATGATACATTTCAGGCCCTACCAACAACTCTGTAACAAAAACTTAAACATACGGAATAGATATTAAGAGAGTAAGTTGCATCGCCAATCTTTATCATCAACCCCTTGATAATCCCAACTAAATGAATTTAGTGACAAAATTTATACTGGCAATTAATTTAGTTCACACAATGTAAGTTAGTGCAGAAAATATATTTACAGAGGATGCCCTTGCTTTTGAAACCTTATTAGGTAAATATAATGGGATGAGTTTTCAAAACCACCATCATTATAGGTACTGAACTTGCATGGAAAATTCAACGAGACAAAGATGAGTTGGGATGGCTTCTGAAATCATGCTCCTTTGCAAGATTGATATTATGAATATAGGGACATAACAAATGCAACAATATGCCACAAAGTTAAATAAAAAACGCGCATGTTCATCCAGAGCTAGGACAAGTTAAAAAGAGGTTAGGTTATATTGGGCCTGAGAGTACATAATAAATCAAAAGATCGAGACTGCATCGTTTCCATCATTTGCAATGGAGCCAAAGATTCATTATTTTTTGGCTTGAGAATATGATGGGATAAAGCAAAATTGCTCACTAAACTGTTTGCGCTTCTTTGTTATGAAGCAGCAGTCAGTCCATGCAATTTTGGACGCGATTTTCACTACGGGTCATCCGGAAACAGTCTCTCTGTGCTTTAGTACAGTGGTAAGACTGCGTACATCCGACCCCCCCTTACCCCACCATAGGTGGGAGCCTTTGCGGCACTGGGGTAAATGAAAATGAAATGAAATGATCGAGACTGCATCGACTTTGCACATGATAGCAGCAAGCAAATTAACGGAACTAAAGGTAGGAAAAGTGAAGATATCCAAGCATGACTTTGGTCATTTCATGTAATATATCAATTTAATATACAATACGTATATTAGACATAACAATATAGAACAAACATACTATCAGCGATACTGGTTAGCTTGTCTTTGTTGTCAAAAATCTCAGGAAGTTTGCAAATCCCCATGGATGCAGCAAGCAATCGGTGGACAATGACATCTGGAAGGGAACATATTGAATTAATACGATTTCTTTAACAATATAGCTGGAACCACATAAGCTGCGATTTCATTTACCTGCATATCTTCTTATTGGTGAGGTGAAATGCGTATACAGCGGGGTTGCAAGACCATAATGACAATACTCGGGTGGACTAAGATCACCACTACAAAAATAAACTGCCTGAAATTCCAACACAAGACAAGATTTCAAGCACTTCAATTTTCAAAATTTCCAGCACCACTTGAATGATTTCCATGAGAAAATAATACATGAAAAATCAATAATCAAGGAGCACCTGAGTCATGCATCTGGTTGCTAAAATCCGAATGAGCTTGTTGAAGTACGGATCAGCACCCTGACAAACAGAATTGTCAACATAGTCTCTTAACGAATTATTGCATTCTATGTAAAGAGTTAGATATTCAGCCTAGGGAACACATCAGCTACCACGGAATGAATATTTAAAGCAGTCCTTGCAAGTAAGATGCTGACTGGCAGATGTCAGAAGACTATTCATAAGTGGTTCAGGCTGAATGTACACGAATCTAAATCACTGTTTCCCACCAACTCTTAGGTTGGTGGTAGGTGCAGCTTGTGGCTAAGGTGAGTTGATGAACATAGCACAATTGTTTCTTACCCAGTTATATAGGCATGACCCCATGATTTTAAATGTTTCACTATCCTTAAGGCGAGTTCAATTAAGATAATCTAGAGAAAACAATTTATTTTATGCAGTCCTGTTTTACTGTGCTTAGAAGAATTCTCTTTCTGAAATAGTCACAAGGACGGGATGCACAGATTATGAATCAAATCAATCAAAACGACTCAAGCTGTTACACAACAAAGTAATTAAGTTGCAAAGGTTATGGGATAAATCAATCTCAGACTTTATCTTTTAATTTTTTTCCTTTAAGTATCAAGTGGGGCACAACTCACAATAGCACGATCAAGAGAATCAGCTAATGCTTTTGATGAAGTTGCATCCAAATCAATACCAACAGATGCAGCAGTTCGAAGAAGAGGTTCAAGCATCTCCTTGGTTGGGCTAGGATGACGCCTGCAGATTATAGAAGTAATCATGTAATATATTTAATCGGCTGAGTAGCCAGTGCAATACACAATCAATAATTCTACATTAAGTGGATGTCAATTGAGTTTAATTGCTGCCCTTGAATTCAAGTCTTCAATGATAAAAGGATTACTGTGGTATTAAGAAACTTAAAATTAAGGTAAAACTGAGGTTTTAAGGTGGTCAATATTTTTGCTATAAATTGCATATCATACCCTGATACCCTATTAATTACTTGGTAATTGGTAGTATTGAAAATAAAAACCAAGTAAAATAAATGAGAGAGAAGCTTAGTCATTTTACCATGTTTTTCCCCATCATTTCCAATGGAGCCAAACACACTATTTTTGGCTTAGGTACATCATAGAATAAAGCAAAATTGCTCACAAAACTATATGTGCTTCTTTGTTATGAAACAGTCAGTCCATGCAATTTTCGACGCGATGGTCATCATGGGTCATCCGGAAACAATCTCTTTGTGCTTTAGTATGGGGTAAGGCTGCGTACATCCGACCTCCCCTTACCCCACCATAGGTGGAAGCCTTTCCGGCATTGGGGTAATGTTGTTGTTAGTTTGTTACCATGTTGGTTTCAGAAATGGACAGTTATTTGTGAATGAAGTGTTCTAAGGGGGTGTTTGGATCTGATTCTCAAAACTGATTCTGCTCCTTCAAGGAGCAGAAGCAGAAGCTGGAGTGTTTTGGTGAAATTCCAGAAGCACTTCTGGTGCCTAATTTACTCCCAGAATCAGTTTTTTTAGAAGCTGGGGGGTACCAGCTTCTGAAAACTGATTCTGATTCTGCATCTGCTTTAAAAAAGAAGCAGAAGCAGAATCAGTTCCAAACACCCCCTAAATCGACAGTTACGTAAGAACGGAGAGAGTACTAGTTAACATATGATCCAGATGACAACAATTACTCAACCCCGTAAAAAATAGCATTGGCTTATGTTTATGAACATGTACCTTGTCTCCTTAAAAAAGGCCAGGTAAAATAGTAAAAATAGGAGAATGATTGTTTAGGGGTAGCAAGTAGGTGGTGTTTCAAGAAGCCACAAGTCAAAGCTATCCAAAATGAATTGAAAAAAAAAAGTAGTCAACTTTCAAGAAAATCAAGAATTTGGGTTACACACTTGCACTACACAACAAATGCATTAAGATTCACATAAATGTACCTTTTTTTATCAAGTTTTGTCACACTACAATTTATTGTATACAACTAAAAATCAACCCTTAAATCCTTACAGGACCAAAAAATGTGCTCCTTCTGTCAATTAATAGCTCATATTAGTGTGAAATAATCAGCGTGACTGTCTGGTAGAATAAATAACTATAAAGTACGAGAGACTGACAAGAGGAGTTATTAAGAAGACAGTTCAGTGATAATTAAATAGCCAACTACTGATGTGCCCATCAAATAATGTTTTAGGATGTATTTATTTGGACTGGTTTCAGCCCCAGAACAAATCAGACCAAACTTAAACAAACCAGACCAGATTAAACTAGAGCAGACTTCAAATTTATAAAATACATATAGAACAAACATCTACCAGACCAGACCAGACCAGATAAGAAGATTTTAGTCCAATTAAAAACATCCTTATACAGACCATTCAAATTATCACTACTGTCTGACAATGAGATTTTTGTATGAATAATTTTCTAATGTCTTCTTTTTCCAATATAAGCTAGGTCAAGAGCCTGTTTGGTAACACGAAAAATCGGCTGATTCGGCTGATTCTGCTGAAATTTATGAAGTTCCGGCTGAAGTGGCTGCATTGATTGATTTTGCTGATTTAAGAAAAAATTATTTTTAAAATATTTTTATTAATAAAATAAAGAAAGAATTATATGTAAAAATAGCTAAAATGGTCATCTACAGTAACTTCAGCCGATATTCAGAAAAGTAACTCCAACCTTACTGTTTTTTATTATTACAAAATTCAGCCGGCGAAAACAAAAGTTACATGCTTGGTGAAAAATTGGCTGATAAGCCTCATAGGCCGAAAAAACAGTGTTACCAAACGGCCTCCAAATTTAGCAAGAATACGTCACTGGGAATGGTGTTCGTAACTAGTGTTTGCAATCAGGTATCGATAAGGCTACATTATGAATGTAATCAATTTCCCTCATTTTTACATACATAGAGCATTGAATAGGAAATATATTTCTCCACAATTCTTTTCATTCATTAGTTGTTGCCAAGTACTTTATTTCTTTGCAAGTAACATTCCAAAGAAAGCCAGCACAAAAACATGCAAATGAATTGTCTAGCAGAAAAAGAAGATAATGATACCTTAATAGAGAGCAGATAGGATAATGGTTCAGGATCTTTTCAGCAACTGAAATATTGGCAGCAAGCATAAACTCTTCAACCATTTGGTTAGCTTCACGGATTTGATACATTCCTGCACATAAGTAATTTATTAGCATTTGAATAAAGTGGGTGCCGTATCATTTCAAGTTTTCAAACTACCCACTATTTATCCTTCTTTAATAGTCTTTTATGAAGATTTTGCTATTTGGTGAGTTTGAACTCTGGTGGAAAGGAAATAAAAAAGAAATGCATTTGATGACAAAGTAGCTGAATATGCTGAATTAATTAAAATGTATTTATGATATAGCACACTCCCTCCATCCCGTAAAACTTGGCCGAATTTGACTTGCACGTGGAATAAGTAAAAAGATTGTGGTTGAAATTTGTGCGGAGGAGAGGGAAATAGCTTTAACCACATATTTATTACTATAACTTCAACCACATAAATATTAAAACTCCAAGGCTAATGTTATTTATCTTCATTTCAGAAACAGTGAAAAACAACTTATGCACTACTTTTTCTGGTCATCTGTCACTTCCACTAATGCAATCTAATGAGTAGATGGTTTGTAGAAAGTGTGGCCGGTCATGTTATAAGGCTACACAACAACAATCACCAAGCTTTAATCCCAAAAAAATGGGAGATGTCTATACAAACGCAAAGGAAAATCTTCTCAAGCAACTCAAATAAATTTTAATTTTGCACTCTATTTAGTGTCATGTGCCATATTCTCGTTAAGCCTAGACGCCCTAATGTCCCTTTTACACTTCCACCCAGACAATCTCGGCCTACATGATAGGGGAGGGAATAGTGATGACAACAGATATTTTAATAAAGTATATGTAAGAAAAAAGAAGGGCCCAAAATTAATTAAATGAGGTGGCAGCCTTGTGGGAAGGAAGGGAGAGCATATTAGCTGGGAGTTGGAGGGAAGGAGATAGGCAAGAATTCAGTTTGAATTGGATGGGCCTGGGTAGAGAGAGAATGTTTTTGTTCTCCTCTATAGATCTGTTTGTTTTGCTTTACTGTCTGTTGCTGTAATTCCCTAAGGATTCTGAAACTTCTTCAGAAATCCATTGTTAATGATATACAAACTGTTTCTGGTGAGCAGCACTTAATTTTCAATGGCTAACATGCTCGAATGAAATGGTTCTCCTTTACATTATCTTCAATAACCGCTACACGCTTTTTCGCAGACCTCCATACTGCAAAAGCTAGTACCACGATCCCTTCTTATCTTGATTCTTTCCTTTTCTGTCTGTGCCAAAATTATCTTTATTTTCCTTTTAAGAAAAAGATTTTGTGGTTGATGTTGCTTAATTATCTAAGCAGTTTTCAACCACATAGTTTCCATTTTTTTGAAAATCATGTCAGTCAAATGAGGAGATTTATAAAGGGACAGAGGCAGTATCTTTTTAAACCATGCTAAATATCCATCTTAGCATACAGTCATACACATCAAACAACTCATTTTCTCTATAATCATTCTTCATGAGTCAACACTAATCTTAATAAAAAAAACTCCTTCAATCTAAGTAGTGCATTACAATTATATAGTATTCAGGTCACTTAACAAATGGGAACTTGTGAGCGAGGATACTAGTCTGGCTAACACTCAAACCCTTAAGATGGGGCATGCAGATATCACATGCCATTAAAAACAAAGTCATGTTAGGAATAAGATGTCAATCAGAACTTTAGCATCCATATGGACTACGATAAGTTTGAAAGAAACAAGGTAAAGTTTGACTTCAAAGTCAGAAATCTAAGGGGGGAATGTATTCATAAAACTACAAGGTCATTAGGCCATCATACTCTAAGAGGAATGAGGGAAACCAACTTAAACAGTGATGTGAGTGTTATCTAGACAATTACGGAATGAGTGGAGGTGTGTTTGAGAGTAACTTTTGTGTCAGTGTCACACCACAAGAGAGACCTTTAGGAGTCAATATTCAAGCACCAAATAAGTGAAGATCAATTAAAATAAGCAATCAAGACTCACTGACATTGATTTATTTTAGGCATATCTACAACTACAATCACTTATTTTTGGTTATTAATTTTGAGTCTTTATATTGTTTCATTCTTCTGAAAAGCTGTTTTGGTTTCGTTCCCATTTTCTATTTCATGGAGCTTCTTGTATAACACACTAAAAATAGCTTTTGAAAGGCAGTTAGTTATAAGCCAAATCCCTGTAAGCAAATCTGACCTATTGCCAAGTGTTAACCTTTTAAACATTGATTTTGAACTATTATCCAAAGTTCCCAACTAGACCTTCTGGTCCACATTCAATTCAATCCAGACCATTACTAGGCTTTGCTCTATAATATCATTTTCACAAACTCTAAAAAGAAAGATCAATGGCATACCAATATCAAGAGGATCATGAGTTTCAGTATCAATTTGAAATTTAACTTCGGCAGAAGCAAGTGTCAGAGCACCCCTCTCAATACGTCTTTGCCTCATTATCTGCAAGGTAATGTAAAATAAACGATGAGTTTTTTGAAACTTCATAACATATTTATAGACATAATAGTTGAAATGAGTGGGAAGAACCAACACCTTTGCTAATGCATTCATATTACGCAAATCTGTTGTTACTGGATCAACCAAGCGACTGCAAGAGAAACCACAATCCATAAATATGAGACCTAAGTTAAGGAATGAGCAATAATCACATAGCACCTAAAAATAAATAATATGCATGAGTTGTAAGTATAAAAAAACTGAATGTATTCGCAATTTCGATGGAAGTTTAAAAAAATAGCTAGCAACTGAAAGCATTTAACGCTATGACCTCTTTCAAAAAAGGGTAGAGTTTTACGCTGAATGAGAGTATGAAACCTTACGGAAGAATAAATAGCAATATGAAATTTTGAACCATTATCAAAATAAGTTCTCTATCTGCATGGCTGCATGCATATATCAGGAGGCGAAATGAGCAAATATAAAGACAAATGTAAAGAAGTTCAGACCTGTCATCCATCCTTGCTTGAGCCTCCACATAAGATAGTGAAGCACACGATTTGATTACACTTTTTGTGTATCTTGTTGAGATTATCTCAGCTTCAGGTGTCATTTCCTGAAATATAAATGTTAGAATAATAACGAAATAAAGGAGAGCTGTTGACTGCATGTTTCATGAAGGAACATCGAATGTATACAGAAGCGATAAAAGAGCACACAAAATCTAGAACGATTATAAGCAGAATAACCCCCCAGAAGTTAGTGCGTGAGAAACTGGGCTGTTGTGATTCATAAAAAGAATCCTAATGTCAATAAAATTTTATATGTATATGCTCCCTTCCTCCATTTCTTCTTTTCACTATGGGATTGGATTGAAAAAAGGGGAGCTAGTGAAGGAGAGGAACTGAGGAACTAAAGGGATTATAAATGAAGATGGAATGGATCATTTGCATGCACTTAGATTAGAAAAACTGCAGTGCATTTCGGTTTTAAAAGAAATTGCACTTTTCCTATTTGACCTTGGATTTGAAGTAGTGACACTTGAGGATAGTAGAAGGGATGGAAGCATCCACTCATCACCTTCTCCTTTAGGGATCATTTACTCCATGGCTACAATTAAAAAAAGTGTCCCTTCAACTACCACTCCCCCTCATGATTCCTCTCAACTTAGAAACATTGTAAGGATACAATTTCCATCGAGGCCATGGATACTCAGCCCTACTTTAGCCACATGGATTGGGTCTTATGTTAAGGTGACCGGCAGTGGGTGATTTTGAGTTATAATATACATACACATGGATTGGGTCTTATGTTAAGGCAACCCGCAGTCCCATTACAATTGTAAAGTGTACTCTCTCCGTCTAAGAGATTAACAGTTCCACTAGGATAAGCTTGTATGTAATTGAAAGGGGGTTAAGATATAGTTTTTTTATTAAGAAATTGCCCTAAATATGAGAAAAAAATTGTGAATTCCAAAATAGGATACTATGTTTTATATTTCTTAAATATGAGTAATTAGTGCCCTATTTTGACATTACCAGGCTCTAAACATGACAATATTTTCCAAACTTGGCAGTAATTACTCCTATTTAGAGAATAAAATACATAGTACTCCTATTTTGATATTCCAAAACATTTTTACTCCTATTCCTGGAATTTTCAATTGTTTATTTAGTGTGAATAATTGATTTCATATGCAATTCTTACTTTTACCCAATGTTGGTATATGTGCAATGCATTTTGCACCTTGAGGCTCAGCCCAGAGGCAATGCCTTTTACGTTATATGCTCCTTGAGGCAATGCCTAACATGAGCAATGGTAGGGGTTACACGATTTAGGACCTAGGCGTGCGCCTTATTGCTTATGCCTTGAGGCACAGGTAAGGCTTATGCAATATCGTTTAACAACTTTTACTGTCTTAAGTTGGGCCAGCTTTCTAAATAAAAAAACATTGTCTTTAAATGTTCAAAAGACATCTATGAAAGGCTAATTGCCTCCTGCTACTTCTCAATTCTCTTTGCGGCTCTGCACAAGTTTTTCTTTTGGTTAATTTTGTTCTTAATAATGCATATATCAACATTAGGATGTGATTTTTCACTCTTCTCCTGATTACCAAGGTCTTTTCTAGGCCGCAATTTTTGTTTCAATTTTTTTTAATTTGCGTAATGGTTGTTGCAGTATATCTGCATTTTTTAGTCATGGTGCCATGATTAAATGACAGCTACCATGATGTCAAATTGGTCAACTAGTAGAACTCTGATACACTTCGTTCAATTGCTTAAGTAAAAACAGTAAAAGAATGATTTTTGTTTGTTGATTTCAATCTTGATCTTCATGATGATGATGGAAGAAACACTAGAGGTTTTGATAGGAATCTGGAGCTAATTCACTATTTTTATAAGGTTTACAAGAGGAGAAATAAGGAGTCTATCAATAAGTAACTAGGTGGCCAGTAGCCTTACTAATCCCTGCGTGGATAATAGATATTAATAGAAGGGAAGGGGGTATTAGTAATAGCTGACATATCCCTTTGTGGATATTGGCTATAAATAGAAGCTGGGGTAGCCAAATAAGGTAGGCTATTATTTTATCTGGGTGTTGCCTTGGAGAGTCCTGGTTGCCTCGTTGCCTACGTTGAGACATTTCCTATCAATAAACATCGTTTTCCCTATTTCCTTACCAGATCTGTAGTGTTCGTTTACTGCATTTACTGGGATTATTGCCAGGTTCCTAACATTGGTATCAGAGCATTAGCTCCTGGGAACGGAAATCGAAGGGCGACGTCAGCAGAGCACTCGCTCCTAGAGTCTTAATAGATCGTCACATCTGTATCGCGGAAGAGGAAAATTGATTGTCGCGATGTTGAGACATGAACGGACCAAGATGATCGCTGAGCAGACCAGAGAACAACGACGATCAGGACTGGGCGCCTTTGGTTTGCACAGACTTCTGGAGGAGCGTTTGAACCGGGAGAAGCGTTCGAACCAGGAGAAGCGTTCGAACCTGGAGATGAGGACGGCTATGGCAAACCTGGCGACCATGATGAATGAACAGATTCAGAGCACCACTGCGGCATTTATGGAAGAAATTGCAGCATCTGTAGCAGCGATGAAGGAAGAAATTCGCAGAGATCGCGAATCAAAAAATCGGACTTCTGCGTGTCCCAGTTTTTCGCCAAATGCGCAGGATTTGCCGCAAGTTGATTCTTCTCACCATGCGCAAAATTCTTCTTCTTCGAGAGCCATAGACATGGCTGATTCTGGAATTAGATTGTTGGAGACTACACATTCGATAACAAATATTGAGTTGAAGTCAGTTAAATCTGTAATCAAGGAACCGAATCCAGAAGAAGAATTCGAGGAGCAATCTACAATTGCGGTCTTGCGGATGGTTCGGAAGATGGCGCCATGGTTGGATCCCTCATTGATACCGCTTCTTCTGGGAATGAGTCTGTCAAGTCAGAATGGGGAACCAGAGTGTTCAAGCTTAACTGCGAGACAAATGAGGAGAAGACGGAGTTTGCGGAAATCACAGTGAATGGGTTTACCTGGGGCAAGGAGCAGACAACTGCTTATACAGGGAATCCTCTGAAGAAGACACTGACTAGAATGGTTTCAAAATTCAGTCATACTAATGATTAGCGTTGAACTGGTAGGTACGGTTTTGAAGTTCAGAGTTGATGATGTTACTTTTATGTTGTACAATCACAAGGGATTGAGGGTTGGACTTAAGGTGAATTATAAGGAATCAGTTGGATATGCGTTTGACAGTGATGGCCATGTCAAATTGGATGAAAGGAGGAGACGGGTTCAAGAGTTCATTGATGTAAATAGCCCTTATATGATATTACTTCCAAGTACAAGAGATGGTGAATGGGGAATAGATCTCAGTGTTAGGGACCTACCCATTAGTGTGATACTAATAATAGATGTAATAATAATAATATTAGTAATAAGGGTCTCTATTATAAATAGTTGGGAAGGGGGAGTAGTAAGGAGGCTTTTTTTTGGGACTTTTGTCTGGACTGGGAAGTTAGAGCTCTGTCTCTTTCTTTTGGGGGGCTTCGGCTCAATTGGGGGGCTTCGGCAATAGATATTGTACTGTTCATCTTCAATAAAGAATTTCAGTTTGTTTCTTGATATAATTTCTGCAATTGTTCTTGAATATCTGGAGGATCTTATCACTCAGTAGCCTGAAATCTGAAAAGCTTTTGGAGGATGGTGAGAATGCTTTAGGAAGCTGTGAAGATGTGGTAGAAAGCATATTCCACCCTAAGATTCTTAATAGAGTGCAGCAGTTTGTCTCTGAGAAAAGAATAAGCTATGTGGGATATTTCTAGTGAAATATTTCCAGTGAAATATTTGCTAGTACCAAAAAAAAGAATAAGCTATGTTCGTATTGATGGGCAGATTTCTATTCAATCATTCCATAACTCAAGTGAGGCTGAAGAAAGAGCTCATAGACAAGAGCAAAAGAATGTAGGCAACCTGTATATCCTTTGTGCAAAAGAAATCTTAACTCACATTGGACAAGCAGAGGAATCTCAAGCTACTTCGTATACAATTTCTATAACTGAAATTAATAGCAAAGTAAGATATGCATACTTTCCAAATCGGGACAGCTCAAATTCTTCCTTTTCTTTTTATGATGGACTTGGTGAATTGGTTGGGAAGGGTGTGTCATCTATTGATCTGCTAACTACAGTTCAGTAAGCTTCAGAAGGAACTGCTATACCTTGGCAGTCCCACTTAATAGCTACTACTGCAATTAGGAAGCCACTGAAGGAATGGATGTATGTGAACAAGGAGGGTGTACAAGCGGGACCAGTTGAGAAGGGTGCTAGTGGAAGGCTATGGTTGAAGAGGGAAATTGATTGGACCACTAAGTGCTGGACTTCAGGGATGACCGGTTGCAAGAGGCTTACCGAGATTGATGAAAATAGATGGGCGTATGCTACTCGAGTGCCTGTTCTTACTCCAACTCAGTTTGGTGAGGCAGCATTATCCATATTGCACAATAGGGTGGCTAAACACTCAGACAAAGATGGTGCGGGGAAATTTGTAAAACTAACACCCCAAGTCAAGAGGATCATGTTAAGCCCATGGTGTCTTTCTCAAATTGCACAGGATATGCTTCCTGCCTTCCTGGTAAGCCAAGAGCTGTAGAGAGTGCTACTGCCCTGCTGAAGGATGTTGTTACTAGGAATCCACAAACAATGATAAATCACTGCAGGACTGAGTTTTCAATTGCTCAGCTTTTCTCAGTCACTCATGACATTCAAGCTTTTCATGATGGGGAGGAAGCAGCATTGTCTGTGTCTTTTCCTTTGGACAAATGCAGTGTTTTGGGTGGACTCTTACTGGAATCCTTGCTTGATGTGTTGGAACACAGTGGTCCAGTTGCCTTTTTTGTAGCAGAGGCTTCAGATTCTGATAATCTTGAGAAAAGCGGAGTACACGAAATACGGGCTGAAATCTCTAGGGAAAGTTGGAAGAGAAAAGAGAGTACAAACTCTGGGCACTTGATGATTCGTAACACACTAGCTGGAGGATCTGAATCATCTGATAATGATTCAAGTCATTCAACTAAGTATCTTGTGTTTCCTTGGGTCCTGGATGATTATTCATCCGAAAACACAAGGAGTGTTATTGTACAGGGTAATGTTACTATGTTCATACAGTTTTTAAAGTCACACCATGATGATGATATTTGTGATCTGCCTGTTTGGGCTTTGGGAAATACTGCTGGTGAAGCCACAACCTGGATTTTGTCAAACTCCTATAGATGCAAGCCACCAACACCATCTGACCCGGTCAAAGCTACATTGCCCTTTCTTCAACCACCAATCCATATGAATGATGAAGTTAGGAAAGATGACTGTTGGTCACTATTGTATCTATGGTATGGGTGTGAAGGACTAGACAAGCCGGAAAAGCTCCAAGCTCATGGCAATAATGAGATGCATGAAGAAACTGTGAGAATCTTAGAGAAATATGGGGCTGAGCCAATGATGAGGAAGGTTCAAGTAATGAAGCTCCTATTCCAGAAACAAGTGAGGTACTGGGAAGGAAGAGGTGCAAGAATGAAGTGCAAGTGGAAGATCATGGCTGATTCTTATCACCCACCTTGAGGACAAGGTGGTTGTTCGGGGCGGGGGGGAGTAATGATAGGAATCTGGAGCTTATTCAGTATTTTTATAAGGTTTACAAGAGGAGAAATAAGGAGTCTATCCATAATTAACTAGGTGGCCAGTAGCCTTACTAATCCCTGTGTGGATAATAGATATTAATAGAAGGGAAGGGGGTATTAGTAATAGCTGGCATATACCTTTGTGGATATTGGCTATAAATAGAAGCTGGGGTAGCCAAATAAGGTAGGCTATTATTTTATTTGGGTGTTGCCTTGGAGATTTTCCATCATTTGCAATGGAGCCAAAGATTCATTATTTTTTGGCTTGAGAATATGATGGAATAAAGCAAAAATGGCTCACTAAACTGTCTGCGCTTCTTTGTTGTGAAGCAGCAGTTAGTCCATGCAATTTTGGACACGATTTTTACTATGGGTCATCCGAAAACAGACTCTCTCTGCTTTAGTACAAGGGTAAGACTGCGTACATCCGACCCCCCCTTACCCCACCGTAGGAGGGAGCCTTTGCGGCACTAGGGTAAATGAAAATGAAAAAAAATGGTGTTTCCTTGGAGAGTCTCGGTTGCCTTGTTGCCTTGTTACCTACGTTGAGACATTTCCTATCAATAAACATCGTTTTCCCTATTTCCTTACCAGATCTGTAGTGTTCGTTTACTGCATTTACTGGGACTATTGCCAGGTTCCTAACAGGTTTTTATCTCAATTTCAAACCCTATATATTGATGACAGTACTTTTCATTCCTCAATCTAGTAAAATTCAAATTTTCACTAATCAGGCTGTTCAGGCAATATTTGATATTCAGAGATGTTTCAACTTAATGTTTTGATGGGTTGATATTAAGTGATGTTTCAACTTACTGTTTTGATGAGTGTATAAGCTCAGTCTGACTGAATTTTTTCAAATTTTAGTGTATACTTTATTAAAATAATTTAAGTGAATTATAATGGGAAGATTTGATTCTAATAGTGCAACCTTTTCTTGATTTGCTTATGATAGTCCCATCTTTCACTTTCTTAAGAATGATCCAACATTTGTTTGCTCTCTTCTGAAATCAACATAGTAAAATTATCCAATAAAGCGGGTTTACTCTAAAAATGACCTATTATATGGAGTTGGAAAAGTTAGGCACTTAGGCTTATTCTCAATAAAGTAAAAGATGAAATTATTATGAGCAAACCAGAAAAAGGTTTCATTTATCATAATAAATCATAATACAGCTTTCAAATATGACAACACATACCCATATTACTGAAAAAGCAAGTCTTTCAACATCAGCACGGAGCGAACAAACATCTGAAAGTAAAAGATAAGTGAAATATTCAGCCAAAGCCACATACTTATTACATATAAGGCTGCAAAGAAACTACCGTACAAATTAGCATGAACAATGGCACTTTCTATATCAAGCTAGTAGTCCATAGAACGTCACCTTCTGTTAGAGGTTTTGGAAGCATGTCTATGCGACGCTCAACAAGGTAGACAGAAGTGCCCCTTTGTGAGGCCTCATCGTCAAGGGGGGTCCCAGGATGAACAAAGTTGGTGACATCAGCAATATCTAAGATCCATGAAAGGTCAGCATAAAATGCATTTCACTAAGTGGCCAATGAACAAATCTGAAAGTATATAAGGATACGAACTCCAACTTCAAAATTCCCACTCGGAAGAGCAGTGCAGTGTAATGCATCATCAATGTCCTTGCAACCTGAATCAAACAGAAGATTCTGTATTCTGAGATATACATATTACGTGGAATGATTTGAGACTGATGCTCAATGAAGAAACGTGGAAACTAACAGTCGTAGTAGATGAATACTAGCTTATCAGGGCCTAATACCTGGAGGATCCACACTAAAGACACGCAGATGACGCAAATCCTGTCTAATAGGATTAGCTAGATCATTCGATGACACAGACCAAGGTAACGGAGGCAAGCACGCCATAACTTGAGCAGAAAATGGTCTGGCATCAATATCATTCTCAATTAAAACCACCTGAAGCAATCAAATTGTTGAGCCAAATTTAGCAACTTTAAATCAAGCTATTTATCTTGAAATATCATTTCAAAAAAAAAATCATCATAGTTGGTCTCGAAAAGCATGCAACTGAAATCAAGTTATGATATCTAAATAGTGTGACAAAAGATTTTTACTAAATACCTCACTTTCTGTGTCTCTATCACCTATTTCTCCAATTGACCTAACATAATGACCAGAAGGATATCTAGACAAAACATCCCATGAATCAACAGCAACAATGATCCGCTTGTCCAGCAGATTTCCCAGCTGTCGAGTCTGTATTCGTATCTTTGGTATACGGCGGTCTTTTGAGACAAACAGGGCATGGGCAACACCGGTAGCACCAGCTGGCAGAGGCATTGGCTCCAAAGATCCACAGTAACTGCATGAACAACAATTTAACAGTAAGATGAATCAACCATCACGAAGATTAAGTGCTATAGTTTCTAACACCACCACAAGGTTCAAGCAAATAAGGCACTAAAATTGGGGTTGATTACATAAAGCAAGAAAAGAACATGAAAGAAGCTATTTGAAATGTTAAAATACTTGTCCAATTTGATTCGGTAAAAAATACTCCCTCCGTCCCATTAGACTTTGCCAACTTTCCTTTTTGTTTGTCCCACAAACTTTGTCACTTCCATTTAAAGTAAATAATTTGTGGTTCTGCTTATCTTTGTCTCCTCTTCACAACTCTCAAGCACACATATTTACTTTTCTTACTTCACACCTAATACAAATTCGGCAATGTCCAATGGGATGGAGGTAATCATAAACTAATACTCCCTCCCTTCGTTGTAACTTAGCCCACTTCCCTTTTCAGTTTTCGAAAAAAATTAATCATTTTTCCTTTAAAGTAATTAATTTGTGGTTCTTATTAATTACTCCGTATTTCTTTTGTACAGACCCCAATCACACAGTTTTTACTTTATTATTCCACGTGTAGGTCAAGCGTCGCTGAGTTATAAGGGAGGGAGGAAGTATATAAGATTATAGGCTACACCTCTTATCAATGTTAACTTTTTGAGATGGAACTTCAGGGAACATGGTATCAAAGCTAGGTCTGCTTGTGATTTGATTCTTTGTTTGGAAATTGGGACCCATGATTTAGTCAATCTATTTGGTCATTTACTAGCCTCAAGTTGTCCAACAGTTTGATTGAAGCGACATATTGAAGTATTTGTCCCACGTTGATGTGATATTAAAGAAATACAATATACATTAATCTATAGATCTGAATTTCTCCTACTAGCAGGGTTAACTTTTTGAGATGATGTGATTAATGTCAATGTTAACATATATCAACAAGAAATATGACTTGCAAAGAGATATTGAACACACCAAGACAGGTTTTCAATGTGAAAATATATGAAAGTTTCACCTACTTCAATGCTTAATCTATTCAACTATTAACTGATAAATGAGTAAATCATGCAGTTCAAATTCCATAACATTTTGGCATAATCAGTGTAAATCACACTATTCCATCAACCATTAAATATGACCAAAATCATAGTGTGTAATGACTTACGAGTGCCAATTTCGCTTTATAATACCAACAACACGTCCAGATGGACGTGAAAGTGAGTTATCCGCTTCACTGGCTGAATTTTGCCCAAGATTAGTGACCCTAGGAGCGTCATCAGCACTATTGGGAACAAGATGTATGCCCTCCTCTTCTTCATGCTCTATATACAATAAATAGATCTGAGTCAATTTAATACATAAAAATGACTAAAAAAGAAAACCAAAGTGCTGATATTTGAAATCACAAGGATCATAGCATGGAATTAGCAAAAAAAACTTATATAAGGAGTGTCTGCAAGAGCTTTTTAAAAGCAGTTTTTTGTTTTTTGCTTTAAAAAGCTTTAAAATGTCTTTAAGATGTTACTTGTATTTATCTTTCAGCCCAAGCTAGAAAATGCAAGCAAGTGGACACCTGCTTAAAACAGTTCTTCACTATTTGTATTATCTTATTGTATTAATATAACAAAAAGCACTTTTTATCAAAAACTGCAACATGTAATTTTTAAAAATCATTTTCATTTCAAACACAACCCGCTTTTACCATTAAGCACTTTCTATATAATCTCTAAAAAGATCACTTTTCCCAAGCAATGGCAAACACTGCCATAGGCATGCAACGAATTCAAGAAACAAATGGTATCCCTTTGACGTTTTAGTGCAGTAGTACTTGAGCATTACTTCATAAGAGAGGCAATGCCAACTTTTTCGCCAGGATACTGCGCTACTTTTGAAGTATACCACAATCATGTTGTTATGAATAATACATGCATTCCAGAAACAAACCATCATCGGCTATTGCAAGAGACTTCTCCTCGTGCCATTGTTCCCGAGGCAATATTTCAACTGCCACCACATCACCATCAAATGCCCTATTCATATTTGCACGCCCATATAAAATTATCTCATCACCAATACTTTCACTCCCAACATATGCTTCAAATGGATTATAGCGGTTAACACGAAGCTTTCCTTGGTGATATATCCCACGAAGCAATCCAGAAGTAATCTCAGACATGGGTTTATGCTACACGAAAATACAAAGTGATCAGAAGGAATTTATACAAGCATGGCAACTGTGATGGCATATGTTACATCAGCCAAGTAGAAGAAAGAACCTTAGTTGCAAAATACCTCACTGTAGATGACCTTCCTCTTTGAAGGCCTCAAGTCTTCAACATCATCCATATTGACATCTTCAGAAGGAGGTTGAACTATTAAATCAAGCAACTCTGGTCGACCAAGTGATTTAACGTATGATTCCACTGAAATGAGTTGAATTTAAAAGATAGTTATCTCAAAATAATATAGAACATTGAGATACGGGGCTACATAAAATACAAATTAAGGAAAACATAAGCTTATGAAGTAAAAAAAAATGTTGAAGCTAGTTGCTCTGCAAGAAAGGGTATAAATGGTAACAATGTACAAGTATAGTGGTAGGAAATAACATTATATGGAGTATTTGAAAGGAAAGATTATTTTAAGGCAATGTCTGAAAATTTGAAATGAAGAATCACACCCGTAGAAAATTAAATCAAGATCGGTATAAATGCAAAAAACTTTGACCAAAACTGTGGCTTGTCTTAAGGTTGGGCTTTCTTTAGTTGATATTTCACACTTTAACAAGCCAAAATTACTCCATCCGTCCCACAATACTTTGCATACTTTCCTTATTTAGTTGTTCCAAAAAACTTTATCACTTCCAAGTAATGTAATAAATGTGTGGTTAAGGTTATTTCTCTAACCTTTGCATAAATTTGAACCGCACATTTTTTCTTTAATAGGATGTTTTAATTGGATAGGCTTCAATCTCGGACAACATCAAACTTCATAAGATTAGACCAGACTTAGGCAATAATAAAATACACATAGATAAACATCTACCACCAGTTCAGACTAGACTTAAACAAACCAAACCAACTCAGATCAGACCAGACCATACTATGCAAGAAAATTTCAGTCCAACTAAAAACATCTTTATTCCACATGCAAGTCAACTTTGTCTAGTTTTACAAGATAGAGGGAGTAGATCTATAAATTTACGTTAGATTTAAAATACAGTTTTGCAGTAATCATGCAATACATGAGTACAGTTGCACCTATAGTAAAGCATTAACCTAATGATATCATGCACTCATATGCAAAGTCATTCTAATACGGGAAATGAGAATGATCACCAGTTTCTGCAGGAATTCCTTCTTCAGAAGCCTTTCTCTTATTTTCTCGATCATTAGTAATAAGCAATACATGTGTTGGAGCTCCGAGATGATTCTGATACCATTGAGTTGCAACTCTTATAGCTATAATATCCAAGTTTAGAGACCAACAAGTTATCAGTTAGTAGTGTTACCCTATGAAGGAAAGGAAAAGAAGGCCTAAATATCAAGTCCTAAAGCCCACTCCATATCAATCAAGAAGAAATAATTTTATATTTTGCCAAAACCATGCTGCAAGTATGCATCTGTGCAATTGCACCATCTGAATAATCTCAACTACGGATTAACATCACTTGCAATTTTACATGTTCCAAGTGGTTCCAATTTAAGATGATGTTACAACAGCTAGTCGATTTCATGCAATTGGATAAAATTAAAGTATAATACTTTTTGCCTAGAACTCAGGCAGGTATTGTTATAGATCGTGTAGAGCAGAGGATGTTCCATCATTACATATTACAATTTTTTGAGAATTAAACAGCATGAACTGATGTATGCTGCTGCAATAATACCTCTTCCTAATTAGACCTCAGCAATTATGTGATTGGCATGTCCAAGAAACTGACTAGTCACAATCAAATAGTTTATCTTTTTTTATATCACAGAACACAATCACTGAACATTTGTATGCAAAACTGCTACGCACTTTAAAAAGTACTAGTACTCGCAATACTTAAGCAAAGTATCTGAGTAAACCATAGAATGAAGCACCGATGGAAAATAGCCTAGTAACAATGAGGCAATGGATACTAAGCATATAACAAGCAACATCAGCCTCCATCATTCCATGTAAAGTGTGTACCTCTGTCATTACGATCGTTTGGACTTTCACCTGGCATAGCTTTCACATATGTATCCCTTCAAGATCATTAGAAAAAGTCAATCACTCAGTCCCTAAATAATCCATGTGCTTCCTTTTTTGGTTAGTCCCATATTATTCTTCATTTCCTTTAATGGTGAGCAATGTGTGGTTCATAACTTCATATTATTCCTCTTTCCTCTAAATAAATTTCAACCACATGGTTTTCTTTTATTAATCTTTGTGCCTAGTCAAAAGGCATGTTTATTTTGGGAGAGAGGGGCTACCATGTCGATTTCAACATTACTAATGTTTGAAAGAACAAAACATGGGCAGATTTCCATTCACATTGTCATAGACTCAGAGTTATCATTATCATGAAATTGTTTTTCATCCCCCTCAGCACCATTGATGTTTTCCTTTACCGAATTAGTGGTGACATTATTAAATAATGGGGTAATGGAGTAATATGTGAGGCAACAATAGTTCAATGCCCAATAGTATGTATCATAAGCTCATTGGGATAAATGCAATTAGAAGTCAGACAAAACATACATTTAGTTCTAAGCCAACTTTAAATAGCATACTGACATTTAACATTTGGAGTAGATAGAGAAGAGGCAAAAGGAGACATACTTATGGTATTCATTTGAAAAAACAAAGAACTTTCTGAGTGAATCGCTACATAGAGCTCTGAGTCTGTTATAGACAGAAATATTCTTGTTCTTCACCTCCTCCAACACCACTGATAGCACCACAACATCATCTATGGACGGGTTCTCCAACAAATCAATCTAAATTCAAAATAAACCAAAATTTACAAAGAAAATTAAGACGGCACTAATAAACTGCAGGAAATGTTTCAGCATAAGAACACAGACCTGGTGGAGAACAACATTAGTGTCGACAACGAGGATCGGGGACGCGGAGGAGCTCAAGCGAGCAGAAGAAACATCACAGGTCTTACAAAACGAGGCTCCACAGTAGATATCATCCCTGAGATAGTGCTCTCTTACAACCTGCGATTAGTATACAGATATATAATTTTTAACATGAAGCCTTAACTTTATTCCCTGAAAAGTTCTGAATCTACTTGAATGCTAAAGAACTGACCTTGATTACTTTCCCCTGCTTTGTTTTCCGTACGAATGATTTGCTCTGCAGCATCTTCGAGGTTACACAACTCCAGCGCTCGGAACTTAAGTCGGCTTAAATAGACACTACTGAACAAAGATTTTAGTAAAACTGAATCAACCTCGGTTTAAATATAAAAATGTTGTTTGGTTGAACCATTGAATATTTTCCAACTCATCAATGACATTCATGTCCCATCATAAAACATCAGCGCGAACTTAATTAATAGCACTGGAATGGTGTATGTGAGTCGCCTTTGTTCCTTAAAAACATAATTTAATTGAAGCTTCAATACACAAACTCCAACTACAAAACCTCAAAATAAAATACTCAAATCTAACGAAAGATTTTTTTGTTCAATTGTGAAGACTTCTTTTTGAAAATACATTGAAAAGCACTATTTTGGGGGAAATAATAAACTACTAAGTAAGTCTTGTTTACAAGCATAGAGGAAGAGCTTCATATTTAAGAATTCGTTAAAAAAAGGCAAAGTTTATTTTTTTTAATCCATGACAGCAAGGTTTTTTTACAAATGTCTTAAACTGAATTTGGTAATATGTAAGAAAAAAAACAGTTCACAGCCTAGCTGTCTCATTGACATGAAGTGAACAAATACGATCCTTGATTGTAATTTACACTATTACTACTCCCTTCTTCCTACAAACAAGAACATATAGGCTAAGCCATTCAAGGGTATCCTACTTCAAAAAAAACTCAATTTGACCCCATTTAAGTATACCTCAATTTATGTCCATAGTAAAGATTAAATAAGGCCTCTTCTAAACTTAAGCTGTGTGTTGAGTGTCGGCTTAAGCTTTGCTCTAGGTATGTATTATCACAGCATATATAGTAATTGGAAGAATAAAACAAGGGACCAAGGGGATGGCAGCAGGGACTAATTTTAAAGGAAAAAATACAAGAGCAGGGTAATTCAAACTCGCAGCCAATAATAGCAATCTTTAAAATTTTCAGAACGAAATTAAGGGTGCTTACCAACAAATGAATGAGCAAAGGACCTTTGAATTTAGAAAAGTGAGGGCTGGCTAATCCGTGTGTAGGGATGGAGCAAACGTGATGAGCCTACTATAAACCAAGACCACGGGCAAGGGTGACTCTTCGGCTGAGAGGACAGTGTTCTGAAGCTTGGTTTGACGGAAAAGGTGGAAACTTTGCTGGGCGAAGCCTATATGTTCTTGTTTTTCCGGACTCATAAAAGCAAACAAGAATACTCTTATATGACCTCATTATATTATAACACTCTATATTTAATTAGGTCTAAATAACTGTATTTACGATGAGAACCTTCAAGCAGGACGGAATTAGTATATATATAGGGCGAATCAAATAAGACACATAGAACATACATACATCATACCGGTTCGGATAAAACTAGACTACATTATTCTTAAATATATCAGATCAAACCATGTCTGAAAATATCAGTTCAATTAAAAACAACATTATTGGTGTTATAATTATAAATTAATATCTTCTAAAAATTAACTTCTCTCATATTAATATGTACTAGACGAAACACCGGTGCGATGCACGGATAGATCTAGAGCACAATAACAATTTGCTAAAAATTAGATTTTATTATAGGGGTTTATGAAGATAAAAGGATTGAATATATATAGGATAAGATTCGAAAAGATTGGTGATCTACTTAACCAAATGCTATTCAATTGATAACAAATTCTTCTATAAAAGGATTGGTGATATTTGTGTAAAAAATGGTGATATTTGTGTAAAAAAAATGGTGATATACTTTATCAAACGTTACTCACATTTATGTTCAGATCATTATCCATTACAATGATTGAAATTGATTTGACTAAAAATTATCCGTTGGGTAATGAATGTGTTATAGTGGAGGAAGTTAACATGTTGGCAAATAAAAATATATTAGTACTATAATTGATGGATTATATGGACTCCGACCCCCCGGTACGCCGACTACTAGGCCTGGACAGCGGCCCACACACGTTTAGCGGATATCATTAATATTATTGTACATTGTTATTATTATTCAGATGTTCTAGATCAGCTTTTTATACTATCAGTCCGTTTATGTAACCGGGTCTGTCAGGCCCATATTAGAGGCCCAGACCCGGATTTTCTCTATATATACTCCTTATAGGAGACTTGTAAACCATAACTCAATAACTCATAGTTCATACACAATACACATTTTTCTTCTTCTTCTCCATTACTCCTTTTGATTCTTGTTCAATTTCTCCTGTTTATACAATATGGGTATCAATTATCCAACAATGGTGCTCTCGTTGAGAGGTTGAACACAATCAAGTGAGAAATCCTCCCCGCTTAACCAAAAACTCCCCAAATTACCCAAAAAATTCATCCAAACTCACAAAAAAACCAAGCCATAACTGTTCTGGAAATTGCAAAAAAGAAAAAGAGAAAAAAGAACAACGTGATGAATCTGCCACTTCAGATCGGAGAGGTCCCAACTCTGACCGGAGATTGGTCATCGTCCAAGCCATCGCCTACCGCCGCACCTGGCCTGGGAACAAACGCGGAGGTCGCCGTCAAGATCTCACGTGCACTGCTTCAGGACACGTCACTACTCCGGATCTGTTTCTCCAAGGATGGTCCGTCATCAATGGCCGTCTGGGATCACCTAGAAGAGATGAACGATCCCGCGTCCAGTTTCTCCACCTTCGCCACAGTAACAATCGACTCTTGAAGTTTGCTTCTCCACCAGTTCCGCCGGTCGCAGGTCCACACCAGTCTAGTGAGCCCTCCATTAATGGCCACGACAATTTCCCTGTGCAAAGCTTTCAGTCCAGATCTCGACGGAGACAGGGCAAAATTGTACAGAGCAGCAGCAGTCCCGATAAATCTCTTTCACTCTCCGGCGACGATTAGCGACGCTTACCGGCGATGTTTCCAAGCATCCAGCCTCCTTTACCAGTGGCGTCCGTGCACGAGACCATTAAGCTTAACACGGAAGTGGCCATAAGCTTCTTCACCTCGCCACAATTTCTGCCATGAATGGCCACATCAAGCTCCCTTCACAAGGTTTCCGCTCCAGATCTCGCCGGGGACAGCCCAGTGCCCAGTGTCGCACGAAGCAACAACATTTCCAACAAAGATGATGTTTTCAAGCGCCCAGCGGTCCGGTACAGCAGCGTTCACGAGCGGCGACCGGAAAGGCCTGGTGGCGGAGGTGGCCTCTTCTCCTTTCGTTCATTCCTCCGAAGCTGCAGCGAGACGAGGACCTCCATGGGCCTTCTTTCTCCGTCTGCCAGCGACGACCTCGTTTCGAGTCCTTGCTGGCGGCGGCAGTATGCAATGAGCGGCCAAGGGTCTGTTCCATCCCTTTCCGGGGACATCAAGGACAGGGATGACCTGTCTGTTCCATCCCTTTCTGGCATCAATGACCTGCCTCCCTTATCTCCACACCTAACGCCAGGCTGCATGATTTGAGTATGGGCCATAGTAATCAAAGGCCTGCCAAGATTGATATCAATTGGGACGCACCAAGAGTAAGGCAGTGGGCCAGGCCACATGTGATTTGCCCGCACACATCATTTGCAAAAGTGGTCAAGCACTTCAGTTGACTCCAGTCAACGATTAAAAAAGTCCCGCTGACTTTTTGGGCTAAGAGGGAACATATTTCAGGCCAAGCAGTCCAATGTTTCAGTCCACTTTAAAAAGATAAGTACACTTTAATTTTAATATTATTAGTATTTAATTAAATCAATATTTTTTGTCGGTTAAATGTCATACTATCACGCACTTATGATCAAACGCCTAGTAGAGTGTGGCTTGAGACCCATCACTAGGATTTAAAGCCCTGACTCCTCAGGCACAAAGCCCTGTCTCCTCAGGCACAAAGCCCCGACCAAGTCGGGCATGAAGACAAAACCTCGACCAAGTCGGGTACGAAGACCGGTCTTAGTCATTCCTCGAGTGGCGACCGTTGCTTACGAATGGCTCACACATCCATTCTACTAAGTATTTTATCATTAGATTAACAATTCACATCTCCACTTGTTTCAAGTGACGAACTCCCGATCGGGAACATAAATCCCAAGAAAAAATTTTTTATGTATGATAAATGTGTAGGTACGAAGATGACTACTCATTTTCACCTCGTCTCCACTCGCCTCAAAGAGTGGGGACTGGGGGACTGAGGGGTCAGAATTTCTAGATGAGCAGAAAATATCACGCAAGAGCAGGAACGAGAGCTGAGTTAGTTGAAGAGCAGCTGAGCTAGATTGATTATGCCGAAGGGGATTTACCTTCCTTGTTTCATGTTGGGGGCGCTAGGTGTACTCTTTTTCCCTTTATTAGGATTTTTTCCCACTGGGTTTTTCCTAATAAAGGTTTTTAACGAGGCACCTCCCCATAATGGACAAGGGTGGTGGTCCCCCGGCCGGAGAGGAAGAACGTTGCAGATACAGTTTGGACTACTCCCTTTCGCCTCGAGTACTCTCGACTCAGGGAGTGGGGGACTCCTGATGGATTATATGGACTCCGACCCCCCGGTACGCCGACTACTAGGCCTGGACAGCGGCCCACACACGTTTAGCGGATATCATTAATATTATTGTACATTGTTATTATTATTCAGATGTTCTAGATCAGCTTTTTATACTATCAGTCCGTTTATGTAACCGGGTCTGTCAGGCCCATATTAGAGGCCCAGACCCGGATTTTCTCTATATATACTCCTTATAGGAGACTTGTAAACCATAACTCAATAACTCATAGTTCATACACAATACACATTTTTCTTCTTCTTCTCCATTACTCCTTTTGATTCTTGTTCAATTTCTCCTGTTTATACAATATGGGTATCAATTATCCAACAATAATATATACCAATCTTAACTTTATGAAGTACAATATTTAAGTTAAAAAATTCAATTCTATCACATAAACATGAACATTAATTTGTGGATACCCGTATTGAATTGGTCTAGTCGATCAAAACGAAGAAAAACACATTCACCATGCAACTCCAACATGGCAATTTGCGTATTAGTATTGGTAATTGGAAGGTTAAGAGCTCATTTAGTGACTCTGTTTTTCCGGTTAATTGAATATTTTGTTTTGGGAAAGTTCCTAAAATATGAGTAAAAAAGTTTGAAAATTCTAAAATAGGACTGTCATGTTTTTATTCCCAAAATGTGAGTAATTACTGTCAAATTTGAAAAATACTGTCATGTTTGAAGTATGGAACTGCCAAAACATGGCAGTAATTAGCCTTATTTTGGGAATAAAAATGACAGTCCTAATTTGAAATTTTCAAACTTTTTTACTCATATTTCGGGTAATATTCTCTTTTTTTGCATGTTACTTGAATTTCTTAATGAATGATTTGTTATGGAGGATTAACATTTCAGTTGGAATTATACGGTACTCAGCACGTATTTGTGAGTAACTCCATTCATACATGACTAATTTTGCATATTGACGACTCTTGGTTAATTATGACAAACTTAGGACAATGATTTTAATTATTATATTTGTATATAATTTATAAATTTTATACTTTAAGGGAACATTTTCTAAATATAATTTTCATATTCAAAATATTTTTTCATTAAAAAATATCTTTGATCAAAGTTGATTATCATTGATCAAGAAAAGTCAATTTGGTTAAAAGAGTAATACTCTATATGGTTCGTTTGTTGAAATACTCTATGAAAGAATGGCCTAAATATAACTCCTCAAGTTTAAGAAGATAAAAATATGACTACTTTTAAAATGGACCGAAAAATGACTCTCCCTTATTAGCTCCGTCCATATCCCTGGCAACCTTCTACCTTCTCGCTTCAGTCTCCTCTCTAACCCTTCTCACTTCCGTCCTCATCCTTGAACCACCACCGCCCATGCTCCGCCGCGATTTAACATCGTCAAGTGTAGCATCTAGCACCTCCACCCACAGATTCGTCGACGACAGCACCATTGACCATCGTGGCGTGCGAATACGGTTTCGAAGGGCCGGAGTACGGATAGTGCCGGCGTCGTGATTCGTCAGATTTGTGGGCTAATGGAGACTTTTGTATCTTACAGATCCGTTGCTCCTGGGCAGATCTGGGCGGCCGACTGACTTTGATTGCGATGCGGCCGACTTCGGTGGTTGTAACAGATCTGGGCCATGGCGGTGGATGGGCTGAGATTAAGTTGAATGGCGGGGGGGGGGGGGGGGGGAGTTTTTCCGGCAAGTCTGGTGCTGGTGGTGGGTTTCGACAGTGACGGCGTAGGGGTCCCCACGGGGCTAATGGGTGGTGGTGGTGACTAGCGG